GGGGGGGGGGGGGGGATGAACATCTATCTTTGGGTTTGGGGGGGGGAGGGGAGTGAGGACCCCTCGAAACATTGGGAGACTCCCCCCAAAATTTGGGAGATCCCTGTGTTGGATTTGGTGTGGGGGAGGGCCTGACCCCCCCAGTGATGTTACAAGACCCCTAAATGTGGGTGGGGGGCTCAGTTCAGCCCCGTTTCCATGGGGGGGGGGGGGTACAAGGGACCCCCCGGGACCTCCCTGTGACCCCTCCCATCCCCCTCCCCCAGATTTCGGGAGCTGAGTCCGGGGCAACAGTGGGACCTCCCAAGACCCCCCAAGGAACAGGTGAGGGGGGGGGAATGCAGGGCACAGGGGGAATTGGGGAGGGTGCAGGGGGGTTAGGGTCACATTTGGGGGGGCACAGAGGGATTGGGGGTCACTCAGAGGGATTTGGGGGGAAACAAAGGGATTTGAGGTCACACAGAGGGATTTGGGGGCACAGAGGGGTTTGGGAAGCACAGAGATTTGGGGGGGCACAGAGAGGGGTTTGGAGGGGAAAGAAGGGATTTGGGTTCACATTTTGGGGGCACAAAGGAATTTGGGGGGCACAAAGGGATTGGGGGGTAGCAAAGGGATTTGGGGTCACACAGAGGGATTTGGGAGGGCACAGAGGGATTGGAGGGAGCAGCCCCTCCCCAAATCCCTGGATTCAGAGGATCCATCCCCAGCACAGCAGAAAATGGGACACAAAAGGTCCTTTGGGATTTGGGGGGGTGTTTCTGGGGTCGAGAGGGTCCCACGTGTGTTTTGGGGTGCTCAGGATCCCCATTTCCCCCCAGGCCCCCCAAACCCCCCCATGGAGCAGGAGGAGCCTGAGGTGGTGGAGCTGCAGGACTCGGACGAGGGGGACGAGGGGGACGTGGTCAGGAGGGTCTTCATCGGTGAGGGGGGACTCCAAAACTGGGAGGGGCTCCAGGCACCCCAGAAGGGGGGTATGGGCAGTTTTGTGGGGTCCAGGCACTTCAGGATGCACTTTTGGGGTGCAGTAGGTACCCAAGGAGGGGGGTACAGTGACTTTTGGGGGGCTCCAGACACTTTTGGGGGTTTCCAGGCACCTGAGGAGGAGGTAGAGCCCCTTTTGGGGTGCAGTGATCATTTGGGACAGGTGGTACAGTCCCTTTTGGTGGCACAGTAAGGGGGTACAGACCCTTTTAGGGCATTTGGGGGGATTACAACTCCTTTTGGGGTCTCCAGACTGCCTGGGAGGGAGTACAGCCCCTTTTGGGGGTCAGTGAGGGCCATTTTAGGACACAGTGCCTATTCCTAGGGGGGTCACAACTCCTTTTGGGGTCTCCAGGCACCCTGGGATGTGGGTACAGACCTTTTGGGGTACAGTGACCATTCCTGGGGGGGGTTACAACCCCTTTTGAGGTGCGGTGACCATTTGGGGGGGTACAAACCCTTTTGGGGTCTCCAGCCACCCTGGGTTGGGGATACTGCCCCTTTGGGGGGGCAGTGAGGGGGTTACAGCCCCTTCTAGGGCACAGTGCCCATTCCTGGGGTCAGTACCTCTGTTTGTTGGTTCCCCTCCCTCCAGCCGATGACGGGATCGTGAGCGAGGATGAGGAGGAAATTCTGCCGCAGGAGATCATCCAGACCGTGATCCCCCACAGCCCCCTGTGCCCCCCCGCCCCGCGGGCACCCCCGGGCCCCTCCCAGGGCGGGTCTGAGGAAGGGGGGGGGCGCCGCGGGGGGGGGTCGGCAACGCCCCTTTATCTGCAACGAGTGCGGGAAGAGCTTCAGCCACTGGTCGAAGCTGCTGCGGCACCAGCGAACCCACACGGGGGAGCGGCCGAGCACCTGCGGGGAGTGCGGGAAGAGCTTCTCCCAGAACTCCCACCTGGTGCAGCACCGCCGCACCCACACCGGGGAAAAGCCCTACAGGTGTGGCCACTGCGGGAAGAGCTTCTCCTGGAGCTCCAACCTCATCCAGCACCAGCGGATCCACACCGGGGAACGGCCCTACGGCTGCTCCGACTGCGGGAAGAGCTTCACGCAGAGCAAGAACCTCATCAAGCACCAGCGAACCCACGCGGGGGGGGCACGGCCACGGAGAGCCCCCCAGTACCCCGGGAAGCCTCCCAAGGCGAGGGGGGAGTCCTCGGGGGTGGAGGGGGCAGAGGAGGGAGCTGGGGAGCCCCTGATCTGTGTGGAGTGCGGGGAGAGCTTCGCCCGGAGCGCGGCACTGAGGAAGCACCGGAGGGGGCACCTCCCGCTCTTCGGGCCCTGAGGGGACACGGGGACACCGTGGAGGGGACACATGGACAGTGGAACATGGCCTTGCCACTGCAGAGGGCACCAGCTGCTGTTTGGGACATGGGGACACACAGACAGGGGACAGATGGACAGTGGGACACTGCCCCGGCACCGGAGGGGGCACTGAGGGCTCTTTGTACCCCAAGGGGACATGGGGACAATGGCCAGGGGACACACAGACAGGGGGACACCTGGCCCACAGTGGCTCTGCCCTGGCCACAGCTCCGGGCACCTGCCACTCCTTGTGCCCTGAGGGGGCACAGGGACTGTGTGACACCATGCCAGGGGACACACGGGCTGTGCCACAGGCAGGACATGGGGACAGGTCTGGGGACACACGGACAGTGCCACACAATGGGACACAGTGTCCCCAAATTCCTCCGTGTTCCCGTGTCACCTCGGTGCCCCCCAGGACCCCCCAGTGCTCCCAATGTCCCTGTCGGTGCCAGAACCCAAAGCTGTAAATAGAGGGGGAGGGGACACACACACAAGAAGTGGGACCCCCTGGGGGGAGTGGTGACATCGGGACCCCCCTGTGGGGGTGGGGGGGGGGCAGGGCTGTGAATAAAGTTGTGTTTGGGGGACCTGAGGGTGTTTTTTGGGGGAGGAGGGGGCAAAAATGTCCTACATGGGGGGTGGTAAAACTCGGGGGGGGTGGCAAAAAGTCCTGGGGAGGGGAGTTTTGGGGGGTTCGGGGGTCGAGGGGGGGGCAACAGGATTTTGGGGGGGGGCAAATGGGGGCCCCAAAACCGGGAGGGGGCTGGGGGGTACCCCAAAACACAAGGAGGGGGGGGTCAAGGGGGCCCCAAAACCTGAGAGGGGAGTTGGGGGACCCCAACACTGGGAGGGGAGGTTGGGAGGCCCCAAAGCTAAGGAGGAGGTCAGGAGAGCCGGGGGGTCCCAAAACTGGGGAGGGGGAGTCAGGAGAACCCAATGACTAGGATGGGGGTCGGGGGGGGCCACAAGAGCAGGAAGGGGGTTCCTAAACCCAGGAAGGGGGTACCCCAAATTGTGTGGGTGTAGGTGTGGCAGAGCCCCCCCCCCCCCCAGTAAACCTCCCCTGTACCTCAAGACCCCCCCAAAGCCCCCCAGCCCCACTCAAAAACCCCCCCCAGGACCCCCCACTCCGTCTCTCCTTTATTGGGGGTTGGCAGCAAAAGCTGCTACAAAACGGGAGGGGGGATCTGGGGGGGCTGAGGGGGCCAGGATTTGGGGGGGGGGCCACCCCCTCGAGGATGAGGAGGATGAAGGGGGGGTCACACCTTGGCCCCGCCCGGGGCCGCCGTGAGCTGCTGCAGCTTCTGCGTCATCATCTCCAGAACGGCTGCGGGAGACAGGAGGGTCAGGGGGGACCCCCAAACTGGGGGGACCCCAAAACCACAGCGAGGACACTGGGGACAGGGGGACCCCAAAACTGGGGGGTGGACATGAGGGGTCAGGGGACCCCAAACCCCACGGGGACCCCAAAACCAAGGGGGTTGGGGGGCGTTGAGGTTCCAAGCCCTGGGGGAGTCAGGGGTCCGTGGGGGGGTCCCCCAAAGCCGGGGGTCCTGGGGGGGGGGGTGCCAACCCTGTTTCATGGCGTGTTTCTCCTGCAGGGCTGGTTGGATTTTCTCCATTTGCCGCGTCAGGAACTCGATTTTCCGCTGGAAAAACGCCCGGGCGGCGTCGGCGGACTGGGAATGGGGGATGGGAATGGGGATAGTGGGAAAATGGGAATAGGGGGATGGGAGGATAATGGGGATAACAGGAATGGGGGGAGTGGGGATAATGATGGTAATGGGGGGATAATGGGGATAGTGGGAATCGGGGTAATAATGGGAATAAATAATGGGAAGAATGGGAATGTGGAGAAACGGGGGTTGAAAAATGAGGGTGGGAATGGAGGAAATGGAAATGGGGAGGAATGGGAATAATGGAGAAAATGGGAATAATGGGAATAGGATTAATAGGAATGGAAGGAATAATGGGAATGGATTGGGGGAGAAGAGGATGGGAATGAGAATGAGGGGGGATGGGAATGGGGGAGGAATGGTATGAGAAAGGAGGTGGGAAAGGGGGTGGGAAGGGGAGAAAAAGAGGGAAAAGGGATGGGAAGGGGAAAAAACCAGGATGAGAGCACAGCAAAAAAACCCCAAACCCCCCCAGACTCCCTGCCTCCAAGACCCCCCAAAACCCCCCAGACCCTCTCAGGGCCCCCTCCCAAGCCCCCCAGGAGCCCCCACCATGCCCCTCAAAGCTCCTCAAAACCCACCCCAGCCCTGCCAAGGCCCCCCCAAGCCCCCTCCAGACCCCCCCGAGACCCCAGGGCCTCCCCCCACCTTCTCCACGTAGTACCCAGTGCCCACGTCCACCAGGACCCTCCTGACGTCCGAGAGCTTCCCGGGCACGTACATCTGGGGGGGTCAGGGAAAAGGGGGCACAGAGGACAAGGCAGGTCTGGGGAGGTCTGGGGGGGGCGTCCAGGGAGGGGGTTGAGGGGTCTGGGGTGGGGCTCTGTGGGGGTTTGAGGGATCTTGGCAGGGCTGGGGTGGGTTTGTCTGGGGGGCTCTTGGGGGCCTGGGGGGGTTTGGGGGGGTCAGGGAAAAGGGGGGTCCTGGTGGGGCACAGAGACACCTCCACCCAAAGAGAGGGATCCAGGGGGTGTCAGGGAAAAGGGGAGTCCCAGAGAGCAAAGGGAGGGGCTGGGGGGCACAGGGGGAGGCTCTGGGGGGCAGCAGAGCCTGGGGGGGGTACAGAGACCCCCGGAGGGGGGCAAAGGATACAGAGCTGGTGAGAGGCACCAGCAGGTCCTTCCCTGGGGAAAATGAAGAGGGGATCAAGGGGGGGCTGGGAAGACCCCCTGAGACCCCCTACAGAGACCTAGGACCCCCCAGAAGCCCCTCTGGGACCCCCTGTGATCCCAAACAGTCCCCAGGACCCTCCTGAGCCCCCCCAGCACCTCCCTGGGCCCTCCAACTCTCCCAAGGACCCCCCTGAGACTTTCCCAGGGCCCCCCCAAGCAGCCAAAGCCCTCTGTGCCACCCCCAGTCCCCCCCCGGGATCCCCTGTACTCCCCCAAGGGCCCCCCCTGAGGCCTCCCGGGTTGGGGCCCCCCTTACCCTCGTTGCCCTTGTTAAGCACGTTCAGACACTCCTTGGCCTCCACAAACTTGGTCTGGACCACCTTGAGCTGGGCCAGGGATGAGGAGAGAAACTCCACCTCCTGGGGGGGGGCACGGGGGGGCTTTAGTGAGGCTCAGGGGTCCCCAGGGCTGGTGGGGGAGCAGAGAGGCCTCCCCCAGAGCCTCACCAGCCCCCAAGAACCCCCGATCCCAAAGCTCCCCATAACCCGTCCCAGCCCCTAGTAACCCCCCAGGACCCCCAATTCCCCCACACCTGCTCCACTGCCCCTTGAGCAGCCCCAGCTGGGACCCCCCAAAACCCCCAGAGCCCCCTCTGATCCCCAAAGCCCCCCC